ATGAGTTGAAATTTACTTGACCAGTCGATGACATTCAGGGCTGGGCGTGACCTGCTGCCAAGCGTCGGTAGGAAGATGACGTCCACCCCAACGCACTCATTGAATGCCAGTTCCTTTGGCGGTGCACTTCTCCGAGCAGGTTTCACTTGGGAGTGTCGCTGACACACACTGCACCGGAGGTGGCCTCGATGACTTCGGGTTTGGCCTTCGCATACCGAAGGATCCTAACGAATCTGTCCGAGGGTCGGGTGGCCCAACAGCTACCACTACACTCCCGTTTTCCCATGGAACGTCTTCCTGTGTCTCGCCTTCTTCATGTTCATCTTCTGGTTGTGATTCCCCATCGCCCTCTTGGTTCCCCGGTTCATCAGGGTCATGAGGTTCTCGGTTCTCTTCATTCACAAGGATCTCGGCAGTGACATAGTCCGGTAGGTCAGGAAGGTGAAACTGGATCGTCAAGGACTCGAGAATCGGGGTCCCGGCATTCGGTGTGACCAGCAGGTACTTCCGGTTGTAGGTCCTTCAAGGCTCGGAACTCGGTGTCAATGAGGTAGTTAAACCGGCGATTCTCGGCCAGCATGCTCTCGGAGCTGACCACTTCCACATAGTCCACGTTGATGGACTGGCTGTAGGCCTTCAAGATGGCCGATCGAAGTTTCTCCGGGTATACCTGTGATCGTTGGGACCGGTTGCCGCCAATGATGACTTCGTGTTCATGGTTGCCAGGGCAAAGCTTGCATAGAGCTTGAGCAATGGCTTCTGAGTTCGCGGCGAACCCGGTTCTTTTTCTTTGAGGAAGGCCTGACTGACCCTGCAGCCCATACTGGCATTGGTCAGCCTTGGTGTAGATGACATTCGGTCGGTCCAACAGCCGCTCCATGGCACAGTGTTTCCAGGAGGAAGCGGCATGTGGACGCTCAAATATGAACTTGATCCCGAGGTCGTCGCAGAGTTCGCACAACCGAATGGCAAAAATCAGTAACCTGTCACCTTCTGCCTTGGTTTTTCAAGTATCGTTTCATGAGGTCAGGCAGTCGGGCACGTTTCGGAGGTTTTGCAGCTGGGTGTACATCTTGCAAGGTGGTGCAATGCAAACAAGTCCTGGTTTAGTGACCTTGACATACTGCGTGACTTCGTTTTGTTTGTCTTCGTTTAGCAAACCATCTCCTAGACTCAAATCGAATGCGCGGCCGGGAGACAACTGAAAACGACCAGTAATTTTCTGAAAACAGCCAGGATTGTACACTTCGGCTACAGTCTTAAGTTGTTTAACTGTTAGCCCCATGACTTCAGCAATCTCACGAGATCTTTTTGTGCCGGCTGGATTCATAGTGAACTCCTGGCAAATTTCGTCATTTAAGGCCTGAGCCCAGTGCTGCAAAGGCGCGTCAGCCAGCAGCAATTGAAGCTCTCGCCAAAAAGCCGTTGCCTTCTTAATGGCAGCTCGAAGCTTCCGTTCCAGCTTTGGGGTAAACTGTCTCACTGCTCGGCCCGTTTCGGAGGTTGTCGTTGGTTTTTCCAACGGAGGTATTCTTGAAATTCCTGGTAGTCGGTCAGGTGCTCCAGATCGGCGCCGTCCGAGGTTGTGTCTGAGGGGTCGCCGGAGAGGGAATCCCCTGGCGGGATGGTGGAGCCGAGCTCGAGGATGTCGCACTTGTTCCCCTCTTCCTTTTTCCCGATCTTCTCGGACTTGATGACCTTGTTGCAGGTGCGACAGGTGACCTTGGTGAGAAAGGCGTTCGATCCCTTTCGATGTGTCTCCTTGTGTTGGCATTTGGTCTGGATCATGGCCTCCAGGATCTGTGTGTAGCTCACAGGATCGTCGCCAGGCTGTTGCCGGTGACGCCAGCTTTCGAGGCTCAGAAGAGGCTGTTGATCGCACCACTGGACGAAGCGGCACTGATGTCCCAGTTCCAGGGGGCATCGGAAGTACAGCTTCTCGTAGTTGTGTCCCGTTGGGCCCGAGTCGCTGAGGTGGATCTTGCACTGCAGGGCGCAATGACACCTCGGGCGTGGTTCCAAGATCATCTCGATACCTGGTAGACTGTTGATCTGCCGACACCTTTCGGTGAGAACGGGATCCGGAGGAGGTCGTGGTTGACGAGCTGGATGAGTGCTGGTCTCGCTGAGGTTGGACCAATGTCCATCTTCCTGAGGTCGATGCCCGGTATCTTCTCGTCGATTCATCTCCTGGCGGGCCACATTCTGGATCATCGGTAGATCTTCGTCTGGTAGGGCTCGAATCATCTCTTTCAGGGCCTCTCGATGTGGCTTGGTGCTGAGCATGTGGTCCATGAACCTTTCCAGCATCTGCTGAAGGGGCATCAGGACCAGTAGGAAGCGTCTCATCAGGCGGAACCACGATTGAAGGACTCGATGTTGTTGAAGGTCTTCTTCCTCGGGAGTTGAACTGGCCCGAACACGTTTCTGGCCAGCGGTCTGCGTGGCAAGCGGCTGAGTGCAGAGAGTAGCAAAAGGGCTCGTGGCTTGAGTGGTACTCAGCTTCGGCGGTTCCATGCAGCCGTCTTGCAATTTCAAGACCTCAAACTCGACCGAAGTGCTCTGGTTCATCGAGTTTTGTTCTCGTTCGAGTGCCTGTTTTTGCACCTGGTTGTATTGTTGAAGTGGAATTCGTAAAGCACCAGTTGGACCAAGGTGAAGGGGAACTGGTTCGGGAGTTCCTCGAAGCCGTAATTGGAGGCCTTGTTCATGACAAAGGATAACTTCTCCATGACAATGGAGTAGGAAGCTGAGAGAGATGAGGAAGCGCGCACCAGAGCTTTCCTCGTTTTCAAAGACGGCAGGCTTCAGGAAGCTTCCCTTGCTACCCATGAGAACATGGGATTGTAGCAACCTTGGATGTGACTGATGTCTGATGCACGCTCCTGAACCTATTCGTTTCGGGAGTGAGGATGATCTTCAGGGGTTCAGGGAGATGTTGAGCGAACTCTCGAAGTGTTCGTGCACCGATGGCAAGTCGTTGGCACCCTGTGTCGACGGTGGCACAAGTCGCGTCCACCATGTCATGCGTTGGGGAGACTTGGAGACGAGGTTGCAAAACATGTTTTCGAAAACAAACAAATGTTCAACACCGGTCGGACGAAAAAGGTCACTCTCCATGTATGCCGACGCGGACGGGCGTCCAGCATCCGTGGCATAGCCAACCTTTGGCTGCCAGGTCCTACCGGCCGGGCTCAGGGGAGTAGCCACTCCATGCCGCTCAGTACATGGCAGAAGACCTCGTAGTCAGGTTCAGGGCGTCGGACTCCATGATCGTCGGGTCATGCTCGAAGTCCGGCGTGTCCTCGGCAAGATGTCCGATGAAGAAGGCCTCATCGGTGTTCTCCAGGGACTTTCGTTGGTCTTCAGGTCCGGGTTCTTCTGGGGCGGATTCTTGCAGTCTCGCTTCCAGTGCCCGATCTGGCCGCAGTTGCGGCACAGCGAGTTCTTTTCTGTAACTCGGCGATGGTGACCGAGTACGAACCCGGTCGAAGTGGCCGGTCTCGCTTTCCGTAGCCACGCACCAGTTCTCTGGCCTTTTTATTTTTGATCGATTGGGTGTAGGTCTTCTTCTGCTGCACGTAGGTGGAGAAGATCTCGGCGGCCTCACCTTCACTAAGGACTGTGTCGCCGTCGGCATCGTCCTGAAGGTGCATGATGCACTGTTCAAGTTCGTCGATCTCCTCCTTGTCCTCGTCGTTCTCCTCGAGGTCATTGTTCGCGATGTGGTGTCCCTCGAACTCCGTGAGAAAGTTGACTTGGTTCTTCTTCTTATCAGCTCCCAATTCAGCAGCTGACAGGCGGGTTTCGTTCTTCCTCAGCCAACTCTTGATGGAGCTTGGCTTGATGCATCCATGAGTGTAGTTCAGCATGGCCTTGGTCTCGGTCTCGGTGAGCTGAAGGCCGTTGATCATCAGGAAGCCCTCATACTCTTCAGGGAGGGTGATCTTGTGCTGGTGGACCTTGCGAATGGCGCCATCCCACTTCGCAAAGTACTCTCGCCAGGTCTCATTCCGCTGGCGCCTCAAGTGGTAGGTGATCCTGGACATAGCGGTGAGCATGTGTTCTTGTTGATCGTCTCCATACTTCTCTGGGGTGTCCATGTCATTGAGGAGCCGCTCAGCGCCATGCGGATCAGCCATCCATTCTGGGTCTTTTGCCCAGTGTTTGTAGTGCTCGAATGGAGCGCCACTCAACATCTTCAAAAGTAGGGGACCGTGGGAGCGGCCCTTGGCCTTGGTCGTGGCGATCCATAGCTTTGCCTTGATGAAGTATATACTCCGTCCCACGATGGTGGTGGTCCAGCCGACCCCCGGCCGTCGCCACCTCCATCTTCTTCTTCTTCTTCCTCGTCGTCTCGCTGACGACGTCGTCCACTATAGACCGCGCCCTTCTTGCTCCCTTCCAGACGAAGGAACCTCTGGAACCGAAGAAAGGCTTCGCGGTCTGTCCCCATGCCATCGGGCGCACCGGGTGAACCTGCGGTTGGCGATCCTCCTAGCTACGGGTTCATCTAGATCGCCATCCGATGGTGGGACGGCCTGAGTTTGTCCGGCCATCCCAAAAGCCACAACTCCAAGCGGGGGCTAAGTGTCCCACCAAAAAGGGAGTCGACCCCAAACCAAAAAGGGGGAAGGAGACCCGGACGTTACCGGGCTCCGCTACCACTGTGAATCCCAAAAACCGCAGCAAGCCCCCAAGCAAGAACGGACTCCCTTTTCAGCGGACACGTAACCCCCATTTGGAGTACAGGTTCCTAGCTTGGTCTTGGGTCGAGCGATGCCGGTGGATCACAATTTCACAGACTCATAGACTAACGGTATGTCACTGTCCTTGATGAAGAAAAACATAGAAAAACCCTCTCCGTTAGGATTGTAAAACATCAGCTAAGGCTCCAGAACTAGAATTCCAATCCTTGCATGCTTGTGCTCTTAGATGTGCGGTTTTCCTCCATGGACAGCGGTTTTTGCGACCGTCCCAAACATCGTATCAAACCGGAGGTCCTGGACGGACGCTGCCGCGCTCTTGCGCACGTGCGCGACACGGCGAGTTCTGTTGAAGGAGTTTTGTCTCAGCGAAGCTCGGTGAAGCGAGTGGAGACCGGGGTGGGGAGTGGTGGTGATGGTTTCGAGCTTGAAACACAGAGATGTTGAACAATTGAGTGAACCATTTAGACCTTGAGGATTATTCTCACAACATGGTCATTGGTGGCGCAACACTGTAAAATTGTCTGCCATCCAGCTGAGTACTGGTACCTCGAGGCTGATAAGGATCAGTCCTGGTTGTTCTTGTGAGAAAGACATTCCTGTCGGGCTGCAAAGAAGAGGGCAAAACGGTATTGGTTATTCAGTTCCATTGTGAATCGCATCTTCAGGCGTGGTTACACTCGCCAGCCACATGTTTTTTCTCTGCAAGGCAAAAAACAAAAATAAATCAAGGAAGAGGAAGCAAGCAAGGAATCAACGCAGCAAGAAAGAGAGCAAGCAGCATGCATGGAAGGAAGAGGGAGCAATGGAGCATGCAAAGGAAGCGACAGAGAAAGGACAGAAGAAAGGGGCAGAAACTCAGTGATTTCCATGCTTTGGAGGGAGGCCGCGCTCCCTGCCCCCAAATCCCTCCCTAATACAAATCCCTCCCTAATAAATTGGTAAGAGGGGGGATGCTAGGACATCCCAAGGGTTTATGTTGGTTGTTATTGTGTTTATGTAGTTGTCCCATGTTTCATCCTTACCTTTGTGGGGATTGTGGGACAATTTTGCCCTGAACTTTCACTGGATGTTTGATTTGGATGAGGGATTCGTTTGGGACATTCATTGTCTTTTTGTGCCTATTCTTGGCTACTTGTGTCATGTCCTTCCGCTGATGATGTACCTTCACCAATCTCATCTTCGTGGGCCTTCTTTCTCTTGCCGGAAACTCAGGGAGGGTATGGGCTGCACGCCTGCATTGGGAAAAACACATACAACTTGCCACCAAATGTATGTATAGGCAAGGAGATATCTAAAAGATAAACCTAACGTGCGAAGCATCCGCTTGAGTGTCTCAGAACACAAGCGCGTATGTAAAGCAAAAAACAAATTATATACACAAGAAAATAGATGAAATATGAACTTAGTCAATACATATCATACCAAGCGAAGCCAACCTTGAGTATGTGGGCGCAAGATGGCGCAAGGACCCAACGATAACATGTGCTGAGATGTGCTGCAGGCACCAGAGGCTCAATCGAACCATTCATTAGGCATGGAGCATGTTATGGAGGCCCTTGCTGCCTGGGTCAGCAGGTGGCAGGTCATTGTTGGGCTGGTGATGTTCACCACCCAACTGTTGGTAGTTATTCTCCAGACTTGCGTGTTTCGAGCACATGAGACAGTCACAACGAAAGGATCAAAGACGCCGGAGGAAGAACGAGATGAGGTTAATAAGCTCACCATTTTCCGGTTCGGAGACAGCATAATGTGGCAGCTGTTGGTCTTCGGCAGCCTGAAATCTTCACCAGCTGCTGCCTTGGCAGTATGCATGGTGATGCCTTTGATTCTCTGTGTCTTCACGATCTTTTTTTGCGCCACACAACTTCGAGCGGCCAAGGAGGAGAGGCGCGCATCGATACTCGTGGTGGAGTCTCTGATGCCGACCAGTGTGTACACGGACATTCACTTAGGGAACATGCTTCAGTGTTTGGCGATCTTTGGTGGCCAGGTGATGCTCTACAGCTTCGTCCTGCAAGGGGTGTTGGAGCGCGAAGCCTATGCAAACGGATCTGTCCCAGCGAAGTCAACAGGATTTTTCGTCGCTGGTGCCTTCGTGTCTTTCATGCAGGAAATTGTGGACATCATTCAGGATCAGTGGAGGATTGAATGGGAAAAATTCTGGAGTGTGTACTTCGGAAAGCCAGGCTTCAGAACCCGAGTGCACTGGCCATTGAGCCGAGTAACCATGTCCTTTTTGGTCAACTGCTATTTTCAGAAAACCATGCTCTGTGTGTTGCCGCTGGCTTTGATGGATTCCTCGAACTCCATGGAATTTGTGAAGGATGCTACGTCTATCTTGTTCATCTCGAAGATCGATGATATCCTTTTTTCCTGGAGTCATCATGTCCCATTACGTCCCAATCGTCGCGATGAATTCATCGCAGAGCCGGAGCTTTCCAATGTTGCTCACTCAGACGCTGACTCAGACGCCAATGATGTATCAGTGTAATGGAATGTGTGCAAACAGCTGGGAAGACGCCGTTCTTCTTTCAATTCGTTTTCTGTCCAACTTCGCAGTGTTTCAGCTGCTCTCTTTGCAGTGTTTCAGTTTCACCAGTGCCAACTTCGCTGAGCGATTTGGAATATGAACTCATTGCTTTCCTTTCTCTTGGAAAGTTGCTGACGTCAACCTCTTTCCATCCTATATTCCAGCAAAAGAGCATCCGGGAAGGGTTGTGGCATGTTGTGGCAGCTTTCCAAAAAACAGGTCTTCGAACGGAATTCGAATGCAGAGCCGTCCCAACTTAGTGCGATGACGTCCAGGTTTGCAAACACCGCATATCTTGACCTTGCTCGAGGGGCCTTGTTCCACTTTTTGGAACTCGGAAAGAACCTGTCCTAAGACCGGTGAAACCTGATCAAATATGATCAAATTGTCTTTGTTGCAATTCGTATTTCCAACGGTCAGAACATAACCCTTCTATCTTGGACTGAACACATCCAGATGTTTCCAAAACCTTTCCAAATGGTTGGAAAGACAACTGTTTCACCCTTCGCATCCTCCGCACTCCTAGGTTGAGATGACATCACTGTCGTTGTCTATCAGAAGGTTGAACCGGAGAATTGAAAGAATGACGTTGCAAACAGTCTTCAGACTTCAACCATAGGGTGGAGCGTGAATTTTGACCAGACAATGTTCAAAGACAACCTTTTTTCATGAACAGCTCAACCAATGCACATATAATTATGTAATTACATAAAACAGACACACATACACACAGACATTTACATTATACATATACGCCCATACACGCTTCGATGTACAAACATTTATGTAACAACAACATGTATCCATCGATTCAGGATGACAGGTGAGGTCTGGAACTCGTGCGGAGCAGTTGGATGGATTGGTGGATGGGCGGATGAGAGTTTTCTCCGTTTTATGCTTTGATATGAAAGATATACACGACGACAGCCATTACGATGACGCGTCGATTGATGAGATGGATGATATATACAAAAGTTGGAGGATGAATGGAGGAGGGAGCGAACCGCTCTTCTTCCTTCCTTGTGGTCGCTTCCTCTGCTATTTTTTGAAGTTCATGTGCTGCAAGTCTGCTGGGTGGATGTTGTTTGTGTTCCGTGCTTGACCCTGTGGACTTTCGTGAAAGTACCATGCGTTCCTATCAAACACCTTCCTTATTTCATTGGTCTTAATTTTTATTTGTCTAGTTCCTTTATAAACTCCAGCATAAGTGGGCACTCTTGTCAATCCCTGTTCAGCATTGATGACTGCAGTCGTCATAATAGTATAATATCAGACAATGTAAATTAGACTATTGATCCTCTCCACCTCGCAACCATGTCTTATACTCATCTATCCTGTTCCTCATCGCCTGAACATTTGCCCCATTTTCGGTCAGTCTGTGGTTTTTATTTATCTGTCTTATTCTCTGTATTTCGTTTGACATCATCTCGTTCTCCTCCTTTATCTTGTGTTTGGTTCGTAGGACTTTATAGTCGTGTTCAAGGTTGTGATACTCCAACATATTCTTTAATTAGGTGTCTCTGGTAGTTGTTGTCTGGCGCTCTAGCACTGTTGTTGTCAACGTGAGAGTAGTGGTCTATGGAAGTATATATTTTTCTGGTTCATATCTACGGGACTGCTTCCCGATAAGTTCTTACTGCTCTATAGTGTTTGCTTCCTCATAACCCATCTTCTGCTTGTCAATCGACATATATATATATAGTTCTAACATTTTGGATGCTAAACTTTTAATTTTATAGTTATTTTTGGGTGTTCTTCTCTTCTTTGATTGCGGCCTCCTTCCTTTTATGTGTCTCATAATATCCGCTTTCATCTGCTCCGCGTCAATGGCAGTCTTAACCATAGCGTTTTGTTGCTTCTTCTTCTGAAGCGGCTTACATAGGTGGTTGTAGCGTTAGTTGTGCTTGGACATATACTTATTACAGTCGGCACAGAAGACCGCTTCGTTGAATTGGTTTCGTGGAGTAGTTCTTCTGCTTCAACTTGTTCATATCCGTTTTGGTCATCACTTGGGCATTCTTCTTCTCTTCTTCTTTTCTTCTTCTTCTTCTTTTCTTCTTCTTCTTCTCTTCTTTGTTTAGGTTGTACTTCTTCTTCTTCTTCTTCTTCTTCAAGTTGTTATTCTTTTCCTTTTACCTCTTCGTTGTGCGTTCCCTCTTGCTCATTCACGTCGTTTTTGATTCCTGCTCTCTTGGCCAATAGAAGTGCTCCCTCACGACAATTTCAAACAAATAGCATATTATACATGTTTATACATGTTTATAAATGATTTTATTGAAGGTATGGGACGTGTTTATTAATTTCTATTTTTGATTGACGACGATTTGTTTGTTCAAGTCCTTGTAGAACATCTTTGTTTTATCGGACTGCATCAAATCAACATATAGGAAACCGTGTCGGTCATCCGTCGCAATTCCGTATATCTTGTCCAGTGTCTTCTTGTCATACAGTCCGCTTAACTCATCCAATATTGCCTCCAAATCGCTTTGATTACGAAGTCTGAAGAAGAGTTGTGTGGCATTCTTTCTGACTACCGGTGATATTTGTTGTAGGACTGCGAAGTCATGAAGGTGATACATACCAATGCCTCCCTTTTGTGAAGAGTTTGATTAGTTCCTTGTTCTTTCTGACCACCCGTTCGTTGTCCGCCCATTCGTCTATGATGATACATATGTTGTATAGGTGCTTGTATTCCTTCACCTTCATATACATTATTATTCCCTCCTGCGTGTCTATGATGTTCTTTAAGTCCTTCTCCTCAAAGTTGTCAAAGTATATGGGGTCTTAGTCGGTGTGTTTGATTTCCATCGCATGTTCAATGTATTTCTTTACCACTGTCTGTCCAAGTGTCATCTATAAAGACGGTGGGTGAAAATATGTATATCTATTCAAAGCAGTCTTTGTAGATGTCCATTATCAGGTTTGTCAGTGCTACTCTTTTCCCCGTTTCCGACGGAGCATTCAATAGAATTCTTGCGGGAAGCGGTGCCATATAACCATACTTTGATTGCTTACTGCTGTATTCCTTATGTTTATAGGGTTTGATATTTATCATTGGAATATATTTAATTTTTTTTAGAAAATAGCATGTTTATATTCTTATTATAGGACACCATTTAGGGACAGTTCGCTTCAATCCACATAAGTCGCTAATTTGTTTGTTTTTGTGATGGACTTGCCCCACCCTAGTGTTTGAGATTTGCCAAGCTGAATTCATACATAGTGTTCCCCCAAGCACTATCATTAGATTTTGCTATTGTAATATTTTATTGTAGAAAAAACCTAAATATATACTGTATATAGTATGACGCTTTCTGAATACGATGCTTACATAACAGCGATGGATGATACGGAGCATAGAATTAGTGATGATAAATACCCCGTTGTCAAAGATTCTGAAATTAAACAGTGTTGTAAATTTTCACTGGAACTGTCACGGTTAATAGCGACTTATCTGAAAAGTAATATAAATGCCACTGGAACAAAAACTAAACACAAAGATGAATAAAGCACCCATCCCTGAAGAGTTTGAACTATTTGATGAAGAACCAACTACCATAAAACTGGATGAATAACAAAAACCAAAAAGCAAATTCATTACCTGTGAATGTCCTTTATGTAGAGGAAAGTTACAAATACAAAATGAACTAGAAATCAACCCAACAGGTACGTATAAAGTCTAAGTGTAATCCGTGCTCCTTCAAACTCAGCAAGAGTGATAAGACAATGAATGTAAGCAGAGATGACAACGGAGACAAAACTAGACACTGAAGCACACAGTATTTCTTTTTCGTGGAACCGCCAAGTTACGCCAGAAGACAAGGACAAAGAAAGCACTAACCTAATGATAAGATGTAATGAAAACACCAAGAAGTAGCAAAAAACAACTATCAATAGGCAGTAGGTGATACGGATTAACTTAATATATATATATATACAGTATACATATAAATAGCTATATATTTATGAGTGATATGGATGAGAACACCGATAAACTGCTAGAACTGACAAACAAACTGAACAGATGTAATAAGTTCATCAAAACCATAATGGAGACTTACTGAAGCTAAAAAGGAGGAGAAGAGATACTAGTAGGGAAAGGATGGACAAAATCTTTGAAAAGAAGCAGATAGGAAGACCCGCTGGTTCGTGGGACGATAAGAGGAAACAGTATTGTGAATTTCCAAAAGCAACCGAAGCAACCGACATTAGAATTCTACAAAGGATTCAAAGACGATGAAACCGGACTTTATGAACTTGCGTGAATATTTCCGTATGATACTTTCATATGAAACTATTGGAGTTATTTAGTGGAACAGGCAGTGTTGGCAGAAGTGCCCGTGAATTCGGTTTTAGTGGAACAGACGGTGTTGGCAGAGTTGCCCGTGAATTCGGTTTTAGTGTCATATCATTAGATTTGAAGAACACAAACATCAACGAAGATACACTACAATGGGACTCGACTATCAACAGTATGACACAGACTTTGACATAATTTGGGCATCACCGCCTTGTACCGAATACAGCAGAGCAAAAACGACGGGAGTTAGACATAGATTATGAGAACAGCGTTGTCAGGAAAACCATTGAAATCATAAATCATAGACTACTTTCAACCGAGAATATTCTTTGTAGAAAATCCAGGGACTCTTGAAGGAACAGGACTTTATGAAAGAGTTTGATTACTACGATGTGGATTATTGTAAGTATGGTTTTGATTGTAGAAGGCGGACAAGGATATGGACGAACCTAAAGAGTTGGAAACCTAGACCTTTATGTAACAAGGATTGTAATAGCATGGCAGGGAACAGACACAAAGAGACATCACAAAGACTACCGTGTAAAGGCAGATGGGATGAACAAAGGAAGAAGACACAAGATGAACTATACAGAGTACCCGAAGAACTGATTTATGACATCATATCAAACCTTTGGTATCTCGTGACGAAAGAAGGGTTTAGTCAATCCTTCCAGTTGAAAGGTTCTGTTTCCCGTTGTATTGTATTTGATGCGTTTCACGTTGTAGTTGTCTTTAGACCATTTGCTGGCTGTCTCTTTCCTATCGGTGTAGTTGCCTCTTCCCTTCATGAAGGTTCGTTTTCTTTTATCTCAACATACTTCCTCGTGTTTTGTTCTCTTCTCGTCAGATTTACTTTTACATCCATGTGGTTCTTGTCGTTGTGTGCTTCGTTGGGTGTGAGTGTGAGTTTTGTTGATGAGTGTTTGCTGTTGTTGTATTTCTTCAAGACATGTGGGAGCATACTTGTCCATCCTGCCTTATTAAATCTAACCCTGTCGTGTATCATGTTCTTAAGTGTTCTGATGAAACGCTCCACAACATTAGCGTGTGTTCTTGTGATGATATGATTGATTGCTTCATAGTTGAACAACTTTGAGACTACTGCTTGAAATGCTCCGTCATCATCGCTGTATATTGACATTGGAAAACCCATCTTCTTAAAACTCTGCTTCAACGCTGGTAAGACCGTTTCCCCATCTCGGTTCTTCATAGGTATGACGTCGCCCATCTTGCTGAATATATCTATGACGACTAACGCATAGGGTGGTTCGGTATTCCTCATTTGTATGTTTGCCTCCGGAACTTTGGTTAAGCTACCACTGACCACTCAACAAACAGTTTTTCAGCTTTGGAGCTGATCCCATTGCTGGTGATTGAAAGATGTGTGCGCATCCATCGGCCGGCGCCCAGGCGCTCTTGGGAAGCTATGCGAAGGCGACCAAATGGAGAAAGTCCTTGGATGGATTAGAAGCATCAAATGAAGCTTGGAGGATGATTGGCAGCGTTCATCCTGCATCATCATGCATCATTCTCATCCAAAAATGGATCTGATGAAAAACATGTTACATAAAGATGAGACGAAGCAGCACGCAGCGACCGGCACCCAGCGATCTACCAGCACCCACCCCTCACCTTGGAGGAGTGGCAATTGATCTTATGTTGATGGATATACCACCTAGGACGTACGTTTTTCTTCTTGAATGTTCCAAATTGACCGTCCTTCCCGGCCGAAAGCCTGTTTTATTTCTGCTGCCGACGCACAGCTTGTCACCTCACATGGTCGAATTTCCTCTCTCCACGGCTGTTTCGTTATAAAACAGGGCCATGCAAAATGGACTTCTTAATTCGAACTAAGATGGATCCACGTAGCTGATGGATCCACTAAATGGACTTCTTCTTAGTTCGACCGTGGCTGATCCACGTAGATGTTAGATTCGGTAAAGAACAAACGTTCTTCCTGCTGAAGCACGGAGATCAGGATACCTTTTCTTTTGTTAACGGGGTGGTAGTTGATTTCCCCCAACAGGGTGAATCCCGGGGAATCTATTGTACTTGTTTCCCGGTTCTTCAATTCCCCAAATCCAATCAACGTCGGGACTTTCAGGAGCCCTGTATATGGACTTAAGAACGAGATCTTGGACCAGAAACGACCCTTGAGGCCCCTTGTGGCATGCAGGAAGACTCCAAGAAATACCGTTGGTACTGAGCATTTGGAGAGACCTTTCTTGGCATGGCCCCGAAAAAGGACGACTTGCTCGTGCCCGACGTGTTTTGCTACACTGCCGTGCTGAATGCGCTGGAGCGTGGACGGTGCTGGAGCTTGTTGGGCAGCCTATTCATCCGGATGTCCCAAGAAGGGACGCCTGACATTGTCATAATTCATGACGCTCGTGGTTTACAGCCTGCAGACAAATTAGTACATTGACCTATGAACAAACACCTCTTGAGGACTTTTTTCCTTTGCAACTTAGTGGTCACATGGGGTTCTTGAGGAGTAGTGAGTAGCAAGCCTCCAGCCTCCAACAAACCCTTTTTTTCAGGAGCATGCAGCATGACCTCCTCTCTTTAGCCCAGCCTGACACGCACCTGGACCCTCCAACAGCTGGCCATCCTGGTGACAACAGCTGGCCTAGTGCACCACATCTGGTCAGGTCCTAACACCACCTGTTGGGTCCTAACACCACCTTTTGGGTCCTAACACCACCTGTTGCAAGGTCCTGGCATGGATTGAAAGTTAGATGCGTACTTCCCTAGCATAGGTGGCTTTTTGCGGTATGTTGAGTAGTAGGGGGACACCAAGTGTGCAATCAATAATTCAACAAACATTACGGTACCTGGCACTGACGCCATTTGATGCCTCTGTTCTTAGAAAAATGTACTGCATTGCCAGCACCACCCACGAAAGGGTGATTTGTAGAACCGCATGGCCCATGACCATTGTTGAAACTAGTTTAACCATCCAGTCACCCTGCGATCTTCGGTGGTGCTGGTGTATGTTCCGAATTCTCCAGAGCTTCCATCGACTCGAGCTAATTCGAAGCTGGACCCTGGATGACCCTGGGACCCTTCCCATTCAGCTCAGCCGGCTCAGGATCCAGCGGAACCTGATCAGTGTCACCAGTGCACGTGCCGCTCGACCGCTGTGGCGCCACACGAGCGAGACGCTTCGACTGCTGCGCCGGTGGCAGCTCCGAGCTGATGTGGCTGCTCAGAGCTGATGGATACAGGGTGACGAAGCGAAGCGCTCCTTGTAGGTATATATGCCTTCCAAGTAGCCGAAGCTTGCGTGGTACTTCGCGTTCGGCAGGGGTCCTCACTATGGTCCCCAAACACTGGCAGCCTTCCCAATTGCAATGCTCAGTATCCTTCGTCGGGAGCGATGGCACCACCGGGGACTACCAAGCCATGGAACCGAGCTACTTAGCGAACGGCTGGGTCCAATGAAAGTTACGTGTTTAGAGTCGATGTGTCATATAGATATGGATGGTGTTGGCCCTGTTGGCTGGTTGTTGATTGCTCAATGTCAACGCAAATTGACCTTTTGGTGTTCCCCTATTGGCCTCTGGGTTCATGAATGTCCAGTGACCCTTGAATCTAGAACAATCTAGAACATTCTACAACATGAGTTCTGGGCTCTGGGTTCTTTTGGATGTTGGCTCTTTGCCTTTTCCTCCCAGGTTTGCTGGAGCTCCGTGTTGAAAGCTGCCCATGGAGGCACGCCATCCACTTGGACCCGGCTTTGCGCCCTGCTGACCGACATGTCCAGCGGCTCCATCGCGGGCGACGTGCACCTCGAGTCGGCGAAAGGAAGGGATTTGAAGGGGAAGAAGACGGGATTTGAAGGGGTGACAAAGGGATATGAAAGATGCGGTCTAGATGACCTGCGGCGAAATGGCGAAGGGAACTGAAAGATCGGGTTGCGGATCTTCGTGTGGATTTTGTGGTGTGGTTTTTGGTTGAGTTGGGGATTCTTCAACAGCTACCCCACAGTTGACTGGGGCGATGTTGGAGTGAAACGAAAGGGACTTGCTAGCGGATTCGCACGGGAGGGGTCAGATCCATTAATTAGGTTTTATATGGTTTATACAATCATTCCTTTTGGGATCACATGCACGAAAACTTCATGATGTTATTATATGTGTGAGTGTCTCATTGATCGCGATATACGCAGAGAAAGCTTACTGGGTCCACTGACTCACCATTGGGCGCCGCTTACCACGCCAACCGCACGCACGGTCCTCGGTGGTTCACACCGAGGATCTCGTTCAACGCAGCCATGCACCGGACGCCTTGGCAGCTCAGCGGCGCAGTTCTGCGCACCGCGGCACGACCGGTACCGAACAGACGGGAACCGACGGAGACGCCGGCGGAGCTGGTGAAACAGCGGCCAGCGGAGTTGGTGGATTGAGTTGATGTATCGAGTTGAACATGACGCGATGGATGACTGGTGGTTTCTTTCTTTTTGATTGACCCCATGTCAAAACCTGGAAGTCGGCGACCTTAAAGACTTGAGACTGGAGACGATAAAAAAGGAGCGTCCTCTACTTCAGTGGAATAAAATCGTCGGGACTTCTAGGCTTCGGGCACATATAGTATGCTATAGTACTATGCGTTCTATACACATGGTATAGGTTCTGTACACAGCCTTCTTCAAGACTTGATGCAAGGCATGTTTTCTCAGAACTCCGTCTTCACATCCGTTGCCGCAATGCAATGACATGCAGAATTTAACAAACCAGCACCTTCATGTCGGGGTCACCAATGGAAGCCCCAGCCCTGGACACCCTGACCCGAAGGTCAAGGTACCTTCATAGCTGTTTTTGTAACTTCGCATTTGAACGCACGCGCGCAGGCAGTGAAACCATGTGTTTGTTTGGAAGTACTGGTGTAACCCGCCGCGCCGTGGGTAAAGCTCTCCTTTTAGCCGGGTCTCTGACTGAAGCACTCCCAAGTAGGTTGGACATTGAAGTGAAGCTAAGGTATGATGAACTTGCAACGAGTTTTTCCCGATGTCGCTACTTTTACGCACCTGGGACGTTCACTCACGGCTGAGCCAAGGAAGGGATGCAATCTGTATGTTTTTTTCTGAATGTTGCCTTGATGTTGAGGGGCTTCTGTGTTTGTCGACTTGTGCGTAGCCCTGTGATTGTTAGCCCTGTGATGCCGCAAGTAAACTTGTTTTAAAATCCTAGCCACATGCGTGCAACTGCACAGTAGGGGCATCACACGTAAAACTAGCGAGCACCTTTTTGTGGCAAGACTGCCTTGAAGGGAGTCCGATTCATTGCCAGAAACATCCAAGCACATCCTCCACCCAAAGCCTGCCCAAGTACCTTCTCAGGAGGTAGTACTATCCAGGCATGTGTTGCGTAATGAACATGGACCTTTCCTTGCTGAACCGACATGTTGTTTGCTCTGGAAGACCTCAGGCATGCCATGAACGCCTGCGCTTTGAAGTTGAGCTGGCATGAAGCTCTCTTGTTTGCCGGCACCTCGGTTCGCACAATCCTGGACCCCAAATAGCAGAGTTAGTGGTCGTTTGATGTTGTTTGTAAACGTATTGCTTCGGACTGGGGCCAATTTTTAGGTTTCAGGGTACCGGTTTCCAATGATGTTTGTTTTTCATGTTGCCCAGAAAACCGTTTGACAACTCCAAACTATAGACAAATCATTACTTAAATACATGTTGCAAAACACATTGAAACAACATTAATGTTGTTTGACGTGACGTCGCAATCTTTGCGCAACGTTTGATTCGCGTTTACCAAGAAAGGTTGTCGTCCAATCAATTCCAAGACCAGTTGAGAAAGGGGAAGTAGAAAAGCGACCTCCTCATCTGTTGGGTCCTGTGACTTTTTTAAATGGTTTTACCTGTTTTACCGTGGTTGTACGACTGACTGACTGGGTATTGATCGGATTTGGGGCCCAAGTCCCACACAACACCTCGTGCGCGCCGCAAACAACCTCGTCGTCAGCCAGCGGCACTGGGCGCAGTGTTCCTTTTATTACGTGTTTGTGGAAGGTTGGGACTTGAAGGCTGCTTCTTTGCAATGAACATCGTTCCAAAACAAATCAAAACATAACAAATGCCAACATCCTACAACATATATTTCAAAAAACTAAAGCATTTTAAAGATATATATATATAGCTATGATAACACTTAATAGTTTAAAGGTATATGAAAAGAAAGGTATGCAATCACACGCGGGGAAGTCAACGTTGCCACTCCTAAGTTGTTTTGATGGGTTACAATTTCAATACGGAAGTTACGAGTGTATGCCTGAATTCAATCGAGGGCTGGTCGATTTGATGTGGAGCCGTCACAGCCAGTGACATTTTTCACAACAAAACAGACCTTGTTCACTATATGTCATTCCAATTCGTTCCAGGCCACTCAATGTTCATTCGCCATTGTTTTCAACCAATGTTTAAAGTTGGTGAACACAGACATACAGAAACACAAAGTTCTTTGAAGATAAACCATATCGTGGTCCCAGGTTCCGTGGGTGGTGGAAGTGGTGTTGGGCGTTTTGGTTCAAGTTCGAGCGAGGGGAGGCTGGAACAGGGAGATACACTCTGACCCACATTCGGACGTGGAAAATCGATTCAATAGGCCCCAGGCAGAGAATGTTGATGCATTTTGCAAATACCAAACAGGGGGTGAACTTCGAAGTTCCGTTTTCCAAACCGAGCGGTCGTCCTATTTCTTGAGTCCGGAGCTCGAGCGATTGGGGCCACGCTCCGTCCGATGTGCAAAATCATGTCCGATTTTTTTTCTCAGAACCTGAACCATCATCGGAAACATATGGAATAATTTGAAAACACGCATTCCTAATTACACGTTTTTGATGGCACCACCTCCTTAGACTTGCCATCCTGTCCAAGTGTCCAATGGAAGTGCAATTTAGGCAAATCACCTTTTTTGAGACACATTTAATTTCCCACATATTTGCATTTGCATTCATGTTTGGCACGGTGTTCCCAGCTTCGCCCACGACTTCGCTTTGGTCTCCGATTGCGGGATCGCGTGGCCTAGGTGCTGCTTGGACGGCCCAGGTCCAGCTCGACCAGATGGCTTTGACCCCGCTATTGGCCGCACATCCCTGGCGGAAAGGCTTGAGCCTGGCGCAGGCGCGTGCGCAAGTGGGAACCCACACTTGGAACGATGGAGGCTTACAGCTGGATTCGGTGTGTGGCACGGCTGCATGAGTTGGTGTGGACGAGTTGGTGATGGTTTTGGAAGGATATACTGATGTCAGTATGGATATAGTGATGTCATCGCGAAAAGCCGCCGCGTATAAGCCTGTGTTATGACAACTCTTTGAGGGTGTATGTATCGGTATGTATGTGATGTGATGTTATGTTGTATTATGCATGTATGTATGGGTCGAATAAATTCCGGATTTAAACTGGGAAGCCAGGGAGGGGAGCGTGTAATGAATTTCATGATTTGTTTCTTTGGTTTTCTATTTAGTGGGAACGATTTTCTTCAGCTGGATTCAGCTGGTCTTGGAGAGATCTGGAAGGAGCCAACAACGCTGCAGCACTGTTTGAACCGATTGGATATACAAATACTGTACCTAGAACCTCTTCTTGGCCAGAAATGTCTGCTTAGGCACTCTTGCCCCCTATACGGGTTCTTGTCCCCTTCTGGCATTCTTGTCCTTTTGGCGGCAATAAGATTCCACCCACCACTGGTTCCAGGAATTTCCACAGTGACGAAAATCATTTGTACATCAGGAATTCACTTTTGCTTCACTTGCATATACTTGCATGTTGTTTAGTGTTTGAATGCTTTAGTTCAAATTTTAAATGCATTTTTGCGTAGGTAGGTGTTCTTGCCCCTTCTTGCCTGTTACTTAGGCGTTCTTACCCATTCCCCCTCACTACAATCAGTAGTTGGGTGGACAAAGGAATGGTAGCTTTTTGGGGGAGTGAGCGATACAGGTTTCAAATACTTTAGATCGGGGACTAGCATCAGGTGGCAAGCGTGTGTTTTCTCATGTGTTTTTTCCCAAACAGTGTGGACACACTAGGGGTTCTTACGATAAGTGAAAAGCAGCTGATGCTTAGATCGCTGAAGCGCGCGGCCGTGACCGGCTAATTCGCTGCTATTTACAGTACATTCATGCCTCTCGACATCGTCAGTGCGCATTTCGACTGCGCAGGCTCGCAAAGTCTGGGGGCCCGCGGGGGGTGCTTCTAACGACTGCGCTCTTGTTGTGGTGTCGTGCGCATTTCCGCACATGATGGTCACTTTTCGTGGCAGGTGCAATGGAAACCTCGTGTTTTCGAGCTTCAAAGTCGACTTTTCGTGACAGGTGCAAGGGATCGGAGCTGTTTTACTTCGAAATTAAGTTTTCGTGGCAGGTGCAGCACTTTGGACATGGTGGTGATCGTCGAGGAGCTCAGATTTCGTGACAGGTGCAGTGAATCGTGACTTTTGGACATGTGGCTCGTTTGCAGATTTCGCGCTTCGCGGCGCAGCACTTGTGGTGAACCTTGAAGCCTTGAAGTGCAGATTTCGTGGCAGGCACAGCACTTGGTGAACCTCGATGTGCAGATTTCGTGGCAGGCGCAGTACTTTGTAATCCTCGAAGTGCAGATTTCGTGGCAGGCACAGCACTTGTGAACCTCACTTTGATGCGCAGAGTTCGTGGCAGGCACAGGACTTTGTGAACCTCGATGCGCAGAGTTCGTGGCAGGCACAGCACTTTAAACCTCGATGCGCAGACTTCGTGGCAGGTACAGCACTTTGTGACCCTCGACGTGCAGAGCTGAGTTCGTGACAGGCACAGCATCCTGGCGTGGTTCCACCTAGGGCGCTCTGGTGACTGTGGGCGACTCACTCACTCACTCAGTCATTCATTCAGTCATTCATTCATTCATTCGTTCATTCATTTATTCATTCATTCATTCATTCATTCACTACCTTGATGTGTGCTCTGGTGACTGTGTTCTCAGATGTGTGATCGTGTAGCTTGCAGATCTGACCTCTGTCTTCTCACGCTGACAACGTGCACTCTCACTCTGACTCTCTCGCTCTCACTCGCACTCACAACACCCACGCTCACTCTCACTCACATGGCTTCTCATTCTCACCCACGCTCACAGTCACTCGCTCATTCACTCAGGTGCTGCGTGGTCTGGTGACCGTGTTGAACTGCCTGTCACACCATACAAACGCCCGCAAGAACACAGTCAGCAGGGCGCGGTGTTATCTTTCTTTAGCATCCCTTTGCATACTCGAGCAGACCAGTGAACAGAATGGTTTTCATGGACAAAAACCTCCTGTCGTGTGACCGCGTGGACACATCGGATATGCATATGGGCATCGATCTAAAGGTCCATGAAAGGAGTTTCATATGGAACAGCCATTTCGGTTACTAAGTACCAACCGGGCGAAAGATCGCGAAAGTTAAACACAGGGTTCGCGAAAGTAATCTTTTTTTTCGCGAAAGTTCATGTAACCATGTATGTTATTTGTAGGTAAAGGGACCCTTATTTGTTTGCTTACTGTGATCTTTTCAGAGCACCAGCTCAGAAGGAAATCAGAGTCTTTGTGCAATTGTCACCAAGCCTTGTCTTCCGGGTTTCGTCTCAGAGGAAACTCGGTACGCCAATGGAAAGGTTCGATCCATTGCTGAAGAAACTTGGGAATTTGTCCAAAACATGTCCGGTTTTTCGCGAAAGTTTCGCGAAAGTTCGCGAAAATCTTCGCGAAAGACGGGTTGTCCTGAGAAGGGGCTGCCTCATGTCTCTTTAGGTTCAAGTCAGACAGAAAGATTGTAGGATGGATATAGTCGGAACTTTTCGGGAATGCATACGCAATGGGGCTCCAGGTGAGAAGTCAGTTAGGGGTTGCAAAGTTGAGTTGGGGGCTACATCATGCATACCTATATAGTTTTCCTTTAACTACTATATATACCCATGTACCCGAACTTCTTCTGAATATGTAAGATCATACTTCGCGAAAGTTCGCGAAAGTAAAACATGGGGTTCGCGATTTTTTTTTTCGCGAAGAGGCACTTTCCAGATGAAAGGAATTTAGATCAACCACCATATTCACAGGGAAGTTCCAAGCACGAGGAAATTGAGGTTTGTGTTTTGCTTAAGTTACAATATGTGGTTAATAAAGCTGGCTCTCAGAAAGCACGCGTAGGCACACCAAATGAAAGGAACACATTGTCATTGACTGATCGGGTTTGCCGAGTGATCTGACTTGGTTTGTAGAACCCCCCCGATCGATCAGAAGTACCGCCACCGAACGTGACCGAACCTGGTTAGTTCGGTCACTGACCAACAGGCCTGTTTTACAGGTCACTTACAGACTTCCAACTTGGGTCATCAACTGAAAAAAACGGGTGATTTCAATATCAGTAATGCTTGTCACCTTGCAACGACGATCGGAGGATCAGATATCACTTTCGACCTGGACGATCCGGAAATTTGGGTTTGCTACATGTTTGTAGAATCAGACCGGTCAGAACCGTCGGATTTGAGGTTGGAGTGCCCTGCTAGCGGCTTCCCATTGGCAAAAGGCCTTGGAGCTCGGACGCCACCTGGAGGTGAAAAGAGCTCAGATGGATTTAGTATGGGTTTAAGAAGAGTGACACGCTTTGAGGGGTTTTCGTCGAATTCACACCCAGGCCTTGGAAACCCCGCTGACCCGGGACCCGTAAAGCCTTCAAGGAAGGACTGGAAAATGGTCTTCGCCTTGGAGGCTCCAAGAGGGTTGAGGCTGGTGGCTGGACCTGTTTGAAAAGGGTCACTGTAGGCACCCAGTGCTACAGTGAGCCACACAGAAGCGCGTGATGGGATGGATTCATTGACAAGAACCCATTTGGCAGGTAGGAATGCACCCTCTCAGGTACGGTAGGTGCTTCTAGATACCCCTGAGTGGACACCTCTATGAAATGAGGGGAGTGGACACCTCCCATAAAGGACGTTTTGAGCCATAAGGGGAACCAGGAATCGTTTCTATGGAGACTCCGTTTCGTCAGGGGTGATGCTTTTAGATGTGGAGTCTCCAAGCCGTCCAAGTCTTCCTCCATGTTTTTCTTCAATTTTCTTCGCTGGATTGGTTCCTTAAGTGCACATTTACAGGACACCCATAGTTTGGGCGAGTTTTCTGTAGATTTTCTCCTAAGCCTTAAACCAATCGGAATAGCTTCATCAGGATGTCTTCCCTGTGCTTCCATCACTTTGACCACAGCTGGCCACAACGCTCTGCTGTCGCTTGGCACGACGACTCTCTCCAGGTCATTGGGACGGTTTAGATCTGCTGATTTTTTTAAACAATGCTGTCTCTTTTGGAATGTATTACATATTATAATATGTGTGTTCTTGGAATGTATTATTTTGGAATGTTTTTTGTTTTAATATATATATATAGTATTATATTACAATATGATCAATATGTTTGTTGACCCAACCAATCAGTGGTGGGCCTAAAAGCAACCTTGTTGGGGGAGCCGGATTCCCCGAAGTTGGATCAGGGGGTGGACCAACGGTTGAGTTTCATTCTCTCGTTGAACTGAGGGATCAGTTGAAGATGTGAACATATTTGATGCCGTGAAGTGAAAATTCCATCAACATGAGCATTGCCGTTGCTGTTGCTGCTGTGGCCGCCATGCAAGGCTAGTGCTGGCGGCTGAGAAGCCAGTGACAGTGTTGGGATATTTGGGATCCACACCCCGGAAGCAGTGCATAGCAGTGCCACGCGCACAACAAATACGTATATATATGTATATATGTATACAAGGATAAAAGTTATCAACTGTAAGAGGACTTCTTGAACGCATTCCGGACCCCATAGCTGCGAACGTGCATTCTTTTTCGCAGTTGCAATTAGCCAATTTAGTTGAACCAACCAACCATCCATTACCATTAGCCAGAAACCAACCAATCAACCAACCAACCAACCAGTTTAGTTCAGTTGAGCTCAGCCCTTCCTCCCCATTGCCTCACCCCGCTTGCTCCAAGGTCGGCTTCTGGCCACTGGGCACGGGCTTGGACGCTCTTCGAGCGAGGGGACGCTCTTCGCGCTGAGGTGGACGTGTTCAGCTCCACGGAGGAAGTCTGTTGGGGGTCTTTGGCGGTCCCCCCCCCCCGGGCAGGGGTTCGTTTGTACACGCGGAAATCGGATCGTTTGTACACGCGGTGACGGGGATCGTCTGTACACGCGGGGATGTATGTACACGCGGCTTCCGTATGCGGGGTGCCTAAACAGTGGCCATACTTTGGGTTCTTACGGTAGGTGCACAGGCCGGGTGTTAATCCAGGGTGCTCAGATGTGTGTGAGCCCCACCCCTCCCCACTCAACCCACCCCAACCCCACCCCACCCCACCCCACCCCACCCCACCCCACCCCACCCCACCCCAC